GCTCTATTGCCTGAATTGACATCCAGATTATAATTTAACTATCTTCAATCATCATTCATTGTAAGTAAAACATTTGATTAACCCAAGACTATCTTAGATATATACACCATAATTATATAATTCACCAAGTGAAATTATTAGTTTTTTCCTTCACGTTCCCAGTGGAACATAGGGCTCCAAGCTAGAGGCTTGAAGTTTCTGTAGCAGTGTTTAATTTTACAGGATGGGGTTGCTAGCCTCATGCCCAACCTTTCCTCTTTACCAGCATTATTTCTGGCTTAGTGAGCTTAGCGCCCTGATAATGTGCATGGTCGGCGAGCGTCCTAACCGCTATGCCACCGACACACAGGAGATTATTAGTTAGAAACAAAAATTTACTTCATTAAAAAATACAGTGAACTCTATTGGATTTAAGAACAACAAAGTTCTGTAATGAAGTCGCTTTTCTCCGGCGAATTCATTCAGTTAGCTCTACAATGGCATTGATATGTAATTAATTTGTGTGTTTGTGTGTGTACATTAGGGGTGTCAAACAAAAATGAGACATAAATTAGTTAGGGTTACTGCTTACGTCATCAAAATGTTTCTAAAATGTGATGAATAATCAAAATCGTAATCAGGGAGTGGGGGTGAAGGTTCGTAAGTGTTCACGTGAGTTGCGTAATATGAAGTGAGATGTTAATTGGGCACGTGTCCAAAACAAATTATGTAATAGACAGAAGGAGCAAAAATAGAGTTGGTTTATGATGTTACTAAGACATCTTACAAAAATTCAAGAAACAAAATATTCAAGTATTGGTTTGGAGGAATTCGGTTGATTGGCTACAGGATTTCATCACGAACTGACATTGAACCATTGGAAAACCTGGAAGTACTGAACGGCTGTCTCGTCCCAGTCTTGTATTCGAACCACGGTGGGTGCGTACTGATGAGGAGTCCCAAACAAGGACAAAACATCTGTCCAGTACTCCCAGTTGATTTTCCAATGGTTTTCTAACCAATGTCAGCTCATGATGAAATCCTGAAACCAAACAAATTATTATTAACAAAGTAGTAAAACTTGCAAATATACTCAAGGTAAAAGGAGGGGGTGAAGAAGTTTCTTTTGTGTACATAAATATCAGTGTTTTCTATCCGGATCTTCAAGACCTCGCTTGGCAGTGCAAATTATATGGAAGCTCACCGTGTCTGAGGAGGCTTCTTTTGACTTCTTAGATAACTTTTAATGAATTATCCATGCATATTGAATATATATGTTCAATTATAGCACTGTTTATTGATCCACTGTACGTATGAACAATTTCAACAGAAGGGGATAATCTCACAGGCAAATTAATTTTATTTGCAGACTGGAAGATGAAAGTGAAATTTTTAGGGCAAAGATATTTATTTTTCCGATGGATATCTATGAAATTCTGTCTCTTAGCTTTCAGAATGGATAGCTGTATGATACAGTTTCTTTAAAAAATGTAACTAAAGACGCATAGATTACATCTTATTTGATACTGGCTGATAACATTTAATTGCATCTTCTTAAGTACTTAGGCTTACAATTAGACTGTCAAAAGCAGTAGGAAATCAAAACATTTAATGAATGAAACTCACATGTACTGATTTTCTTAAGAGGTAGTTTTCACATTCCGATGGCTTAAAGAAGAATATGTTCCACTTGAATGGGTTGGTTCTAAGTTCAACAGTCAGACATCAAATTCACAAGAGAAGAAGAGTTAGATAACAAAATCCCATTTTTAGATGTCTTAATCAGGAGAACCAACACAGGAAATTTAGAAACACAAGTATACAGAAAGTCAACGCACACAGATCAAATACTAAACTATACTAGCAACAATCCAATTACTCACAAAAGAAACTGTGTGCAGACATTGTTTAGAAGAATTCAAACACATTGTAGCACACCAGAGTTGAAAAGAATGGAAGAAAGATACTTACAAACGGTGTTCAAGAGGAATGGTTATCCAAAAAATTTCATCAAAAAGTGTTTAAAATCGAATGAAAGCACCAACAAAGAACCATCACCAAAGACCAAGAAGCAATTCATCCTACCATATATCAGAAACATCTCTGAAATAACGGCTAGAATAATGAAACCGTTTGATATAGATGTAGCACACAAACCAGCTGAATCGCTTAATTCTATCTTATGCAAACCAAAAGATCCGATAGAAAAGGGAGATAAAATTAACACTATTTACAAAATAAATTGTGTGAACTGTAACAAACATTACATCGGCCAAAGTGGGCGTCCCCTTCGAATAAGAATCCAGGAACACAAATCAGCCGTGAAAAGACATGATATAAATTCTTTAGTATCAATACATTCAGACGATCATGGACATAAATTTGATTGGGATAATGTCAAAATCTTAAACAGAGGAAACACCAAATGTGCCAGAGAATTCCTAGAAGCCTGGTACTCAAATGAAAACGCAATTAATAAACACATTAATATAGATGAAATATACCAACTAATAAGAAGTAAATCAGGTGATCAGAAAGTTTAAAATCCCAATCAATAGAAAACGGTCAATAAATATCTAAAGATGGTTACCGGGAGACTCATGAAGAAATTTAAATCATTTCACTTTATCCTAAATACTGCGCTGAAGATGTCGTCCAGAAAGACGATGAAAGCTCCGCAATCAAACCAAGGAGCTCAGAGAACACTATCAATTCCAAGTCAGATAGATTACTACTTACTATTCAGTGAAAGTACAGGACATTCGGCTAACAAGCTAAAAGCATTATGAAATGCATGGCATCAATTCCAAAGGAAGCCAAATCTGAACAAGAAACGTAAAACTTTTACTGCATTTTGTAAAATATGCAGTTATTTTACTGGATATCTACAAGAAATCTCCAGAAAACAAGCCAGGATGCGCTTCGATCCCCATCTTAGACAAGTTAGTTAAGTGTAACTCTACACCCAACGAGGATGCAGGTACATTTAGAGGACGAGTCTCAAACAGGACGAGAGAGCACTATTCTTAGGGTTTATGTAAAGAATGTTCTCAGAGTTGATGTGATTCTTCTCTTGAGAATATCGCTTGCTAAATCTCCCTTGAAATCCAAATTCATGTAGAGTTTCTTTTTAGGCGCAATTAAGGTTTCGTTTCTCCAAATTCTTGGTTTGATATTTTTGTCAATGAATCCTGGTGAGTATTCATTTTAGATGGCGATTTTCCTCAAAAGATATCACTCTGTTTCTAGAACGTCGGGACTACGTAAACGTCGGATGAGGGTGGCCAGGGATTTAATTAAATTACGCTTTTGTTGAATGGTTTACTCAGCTATAGAAGCTTGTTAGTTGACCATCCCAAGTAGCTTTTCTATGGATCAATCTTCTTAAGCTCTCTTCAGTTCTTCTTGTTGGTTCCACATCAAGTACGGAAATCTAATAACTGATTAACTGGGACTTCTGATCATATAAGTTTTATAAATGTATATCCTCCCTTATCCTGTGATCGGGCTGAAAGAAAGTGGAGGTTGGGTTCGAGTTTTACAACTTCATCCCATAAATTCAAATCGGTACCACCTCTACAGAAGCTTTAAGACTCCAACTTGAAGCCCTAATTTTCCACTCTGAATGTTAAGGAATGAATTAATAGGTGGCAATTTTAATCTGATAGCCTGATAATTAAATTAGGTAAGAGGACTTGTTTCCTCAAGATGATACACGTGCTATTGTCGATGAGTACTCACAACTTTGAAACTCACATTAAATGATTTCTTCCTCTGAATAATTACTAATACTTATTACTGAGTCTTTCTTGTCTACTTCTTTCTAATTCTGAGTATTCGAAGGCGTCATATTTAGAACAATGAAGTGAAGCTGACCAGACAAGATATAACAAAGGCATAAATTAAGGTACACTATGTCTACATGTTTGATTAGGCATATTCTGTGGCGCTTTCAGAAACATGGCAAGAAACACCTGAACAAAGCTTCTTTGAAACTTTTTGACTCGTCGGCCTAATGATAAATTTAGTGCTTCATAAATTCAGTTTGAAGGATGTTTATGTTTGTAGTCTCAAAGATGAAAGTCTTACTCAGAACTATGTTGATATTAAAGCCATCAAATTAATCTTTCGAAAGTAAATTTGTAGAAACTTCATTTGATTTAAGTTTCATTAGTTAAAGAATCACTGGAAAATCAGGGAGTACTAGACAGATGTTTCATCTTAGTCTTGGACACATCAGCATCACACATCTACCGGATTTTGAACGGAGGACTTTCCGATTACTAGGCAAGCTTATAAACCATTCAGCCAGTAGGGCCTGACTCAATGACTTATAAATCCCAACTTCTACCGATTCATAATTTAACCAAGACCACCAGCCAATGTCATTCGCAGGCATTCATCCTCACGTCCGACTTAATAGACCCCAGTGGTCAAGACTTCTCATTAGAACTTCAAGAAAGACCATCCTATTGTCAGTCACTAGCTAGAGAATGTCAGCTTAATTCCTCAGTAGTTAGTTTGTAAGGATTTTATTTGTTTGACTTTTGATCAAGCATTGATGTGACTTAGACAACTATCATAAAAACCCTAAAGAATCGGATGGGAGTTTCATCCTAATTCCCACTTCTCCAGAAAGCACGCACCTATTTGGGGTTCAAATCCAAGAGCTCCTGGCTACTAGACAATGTTTGCAAATTATTTTTCACAATCAACCAATCAAAATCAAGCAGCTATTTGATTGGCTGTTCACTTTTTTCGACATATTGTAAGCGTATACAAGTCAGGTGATTTGCATTTTTAGTTAGTTGTCTATATACAACATTTTACCTATCAACACATTTTTGGTAAATCTTAATCGTTTTGGTGATTTTCGTCAATCTGAAAAGTATAAAAAAAAAACACAAAACAGTAAAGACAGAAACCATAGGAAGGAGTAGATTAATGTAGAATTAGTAAAGTGATCATGTTAATTGTAATAAACAAGAAGTTATTCTTTTCTATCCTTTTCAATGTCCAAGGATTTACATCAAATTCGTGTCAATAATCAAAAAGACAATTATATCAATCGAAATCATACTGATAATAATAATGATGGTAATAATAATAATAACAATAACAACAGGAATACTGGAGTCAATTATTCAACCTATAGACATTCATCACATCATGTAGGCGATTCAATTCAACCGAGAGGTGATATTAACTCAATACAGAGAACATGCGAAACTATACAACGAAATAATACATGTAAAACAAATTTGTCGACACAAAGACAATATCAACAGCAACAACAACAATCAATTGATAATCAACCGAAGAAACCTCAAAGAATTACAAAGCCTTCCAGTTCATCTGAATCACATATTCTTGGCAATCGTCCTGTCAGCTTAGACAATCAGTATCATAATAATAAAATTTACTCAAAACGTGATGACTATGACATTCAATGGTCAAATAAAGATAATAAATATTCACAATCAGTATTGTATAATCCTGCATCACATCAATCACGTAATCCCTTGAACAATTCAGGGAATAACAACAGCAATAATAATAATAATGTGAATTATGGAATAACAAATTATCCAGTTACTAAGTCTGATTATCAGTTACGTAATCATATAACAAAAGAACAAAAATCTGTTCATTGGTCTGAAGATTTAGGTAAGCTCAAGTGTAAAAACACATTTTTGTTGAATTTTCAATCTCGGCATTTTTTACTGATATTGCATAAATGAAGGCGCCTTATGGCAACTAAGATGCTCACTAGCGACTGGCCCTATTCAGGTAAGTTACAACAAGTATGGTGTGTGGACAAATACTTGCCGAAGACATTGGTTAGTGGTAGCGCTATGTCGTGAATTGGCAGAAGCTGGAATTCGTGGGGTAGTTGTTGGATTGAGTCCCGATGGCTTAATGATCTACAAGCTCACCTTGTAAACAGAAGGTCTCGGGTGTGTACTTATGAAGAGTCTCAAACGAGGACGAAACAACTGTCTTGCTGTATTCCCAGGTGGTTTTCCAATAGTTCCTCTAACCGATATCAATTCATGATGAAATCCTGTAACCAAATAGTCAAATTCCTACAAACCAGTACTTGAAAATCAGAAGTTATAAGTTTGATCACGGGCTGATAGCTACAGAATCAATGGAAAACTAAAAAAATACTAGACAGTTGTTTCGTCAGTACACACTTACCAGAGTCCAAACAAATTAAGTTCACATCAAACTGACAACATGATAATTAATCTCGTGCTCGTAAGGGACTGGCCTCATTGAGAAAGTTACTAGGAGTCTTAGTGATAAGGTATGACCAATAAAAGCAAATTAATCAGGTAAGACCATTATTTATTATTATTGTATCCTTTAGTTCCTAGAGGAACATAGGGCTTCAGCTACGCACCTCCATTGCCTTCGGTTTCCTGACAACTTTTTCACTCCGCTCCAAGTCTGCCCACATGCTTTCATCTCCTCTTCACATGACATCCTCCAAGTCACTCTTGAACTGACGACCAACTCGCCGCCTCCCTTTCGGGTTCCACTCGAGCAATGGCTTGTCTAGTGATGTCACTTGATGGCTTCCTCAGCGTATGGCCAATCCATCTCCATTTCTTTCTGCCTATTTGTTTCACAATCGGTTCCTGATTGGTTCGATCATTGCCAGAGATCCCTGTTGCTGATCTTTTCTGGCCATCTGATCTTGAGTATTGGGCGGAGACAGCTGTTAATGAAGGTTTGAAGTTTGTTTGAGATGCTCTTTATGACTCGCCAAGTCTCTGACCCGTATAGTAGCACTGACTGATTTCACATTGGAGTTGAAAATCCGGATCTTATTTTTGATGCTGAGTGCTGTTGACCTCCACACAGATTTGAGAGTAATGAAAGCTTGTCTTGCTTTTCCGATTCTGGTTTGATTTCCTCGTCAGTTCCGCCTGTAGTTGAGACGATGCTTCCCAGGTAGGTGAAGGAGGTTGTTTCTTTCAGGTTCTTCCCACTTATGCTGATTGTTGTCTGTTGTTGTTGCTGTTGATGTTGACCAGGAATCTTCATCATCTCTGTTTTATCTATGTTCACATGAAGTCCTATCTTTGATGCTTCTTCTGCCAACTTGTTACTTTTCACTTGCATATCTTCCAGTTTGTGGGAAATCAGACATATATCATCGGCGAAATGCAGATCCTCCAAGTCTTTTGTGTCAGTCCATTTTATACCTGTTCCCTCGTTGGTTGCCGTTGTCTGTCGCATTATCCAATCAATTGCAATCAGGAAGATCATTGGCGATAGTAGACAGCCTTGCCTCACTCCCGTCCTCACTTCGAAGGCCTCCGTAAGTTTCCCGTTGTGGATTACTTGGCATGCAGCATTGTCGTATAACTGTTGGATAAGATGTATAATGACCATAGTTACTCGGTAATGACATTGCTGGAGGTCACATTATATATATCATGAACTGGTAGACATTGGACTAAATGAGCATATAGTGTCCCATTGGATGAGTTCTGTACAAGCTTGCGTAGCTACCAGAAGGTCCTAGGTTGAAACCTTGATGGTTTCACACTGATGACAAGTCTAAAACTAGGACGAAACAATCATCCAGTATTCCTTCCTTAACTAACATCACCTCGCGATTCAACTTGAAACCAATCAAATCCATACAAACAAACACCCGAAGTTTCAAAACTTCACTGAAATTATTCATAACTAGACAAAAAAAGTAGTGTAAGAATACACAGTATATTCGGTTGTTACAGCTACTACGTAATCTTCAAGTATTGATTGCGAAGAGATTTTGTTTGATCGTTTGGCGGATTTCACCATGAGGTGACATCATTTAGAGAACCACTGGAAAACATGAAAGTACTGGACAGCTAGTTGTTTCGTCAGCCTACTTTGAGACTTTTCGTCAGCACTCACCCACCACAGGAGTCCGAACCCAAGACCTTCTGGTAACAAGGCCAGAAAGCTTGTAGACCATTAGGCCACTGGGGTCTGCCAATCCAATGACCGGTCCATGAATTCTAACTTCTGCCATTTCATAACATATCGTGACCAATTCACAATGTCTTCTTAGATGAGTTACTGCCTCACATAATATTGCACACAGAGATGGAAATCAGTTATGGCTATTCCTAAAGAGAACAAAACTAGGGAGCTGAACAGACAGGCTGTACTTGTTTACTTATCGACATACAGGAAAGTGGTGTTTTATTTAATAAAAACGATAATTTGATTGTGTCATCCATGTTGCCTAATTAATTCATCATTTGAGCTCAACTATATGGTAAAATTCTCCTAATGAATCAAACGAGGAATTAGATATTTTGCAAGCGTTTATGATAGTAACCGGGTCTAGAATCCAGTACCTATTGGCTGGAAGGCGAGTCTCCAAACCAAAGACTAGCATCTCCACTCTTCGTTAACTAATTTGCTTTACAACTCATTATAAGCGACAGGATCTAGTAGATGACTGAACTTCAGCACTAAGAAGAAAAGGCAGAAGAATTTTCTGCCTTTTCAATCCATATCATTCGGTTAAGTTCCTGTTGAGGCTTTAAGCTTCAAGCTTCAATGTTTCAGCAGCGTTTGTGTTCTTTTCATATGGTGAGGTTGCTAGCCTCACACACAGCCTTCCCTCTATTACGAGTGTACTGCCTGCTAGGCAAGATGGAGGAGCGTACTGACTGAGAATAGAACCTGAAATACACTCATGGCTGGTGTGTATTATTCCTGCAGGAGCCACTGACATATTCTGAGTAATGTCGATAAATTTGAACAATATACTTTCTACTATCGACTGGAAGAGAGACTTACATTCAAAGAGGCGAAGGCTGTGTATCAAAGGGACTAAAATTCATTGGTCGCTACTTGTCGACTCTTGTCGCCATCTCAGTCGAAATCATACGCCATTTAGTATTATTAACTGAAATAAGATAGTCACTAGGATGAAGAAAAAAACTAATGTGGAGCCATACTGTCATCAGAAAGAATATCAGGAGTTATTCTATAATTAACACTATCAAATTATTTCCAGCAATTTTTCTATTCCTTTACATTCCCAGTGGAACGAACATAGGAGGCCTCAAGCTAGCGATAGCTTTGAAGTTTCAGTAACAGCGGTGTTTATTCCTTTAACAGGATGGAGTTGCTAGCCTCATGTGCCCAACCTTCCCTCTTTTAGCCAGTCTTATTACTGGCTTAGCGAAATGAGGTAAAGGAGACGTGGTTGGCGCGTATTCAACCACTGTGCCACCGACGCAATATTTACAGCAATAATTCATGAATAGATATGTGTGTTGATTCATTAAACAGAGATAAAAGACTATGGATTAGTGGATCCATACATACAAAATCAGCTTACACTTAATTCTAGGCATTAGAAGATATGTTGTTAACAATAAAAGAACTCCAAAATATTTAGTACATTCTGAATAATTGTAGAATGAAAGAATTATCTTTAGCCACCGGGGGTTGGGGAGCTTCGCAGTCAATTCTTAGCCGATGCACAACAAGTTAACTTCACATAATGTTGGCTAGCTGGCGGTAAATCCAGAAAACAAGAGGAAGTTTAGCGTGAGGTTAGCAACCTTAGACCTCAGAGACAACATCACAGATACTGGAATTTCCGAAAAACTTGAAGCTTTATCTCCGAATCAAAAAGCAACAGGATTCTAAAATAGCAATAATGATAAATACTCTTTTTTTGTTCTAGTTTGAAATTGATTATCCAATAGTACGCATTAATTATTCCAACAGGGACCTGTTATTTAATTCATCCTTGTATGAAAATGTGGAGAAGTAACAATGAAAAAGGGGATAAATCGATTACCATACAATATTATCTGGTTAGTATTTTCAAACTTGCTACATGAATATTTCTTAAATAATTTAATTGCACTGAAAGACACACAGAAACCTGTTGTCGAAAATCCCAATTTGTAGAGTGGAAAATGGATACCCCCTAATTTTTCGCCGAGTAGATATGAAATTATTCATTTTAAAGCTTTGAAACTTACACTAAACTCAACAACTTTATCCCCTGGTACCTCTTTTGGGACAATTCTTCTATAAATGAAATATAATTGGTGAAATGACCAGTTGATAAGACATGAGTTACAAAAAGACAAAACTGTGCATCAGTGGTTGACCCACCTCCCGGGTTCGAACTTAGGGCCTCCTGGACACAAGGCGAGCTCGTAGATCATTAAGCCACTGGGAACCGATCCAATGGCTAGCCCATGAATTCTAACTTCTGCTCATTCACGATATACCCAAGCCCAGCCAATGTCTTCGGTGAGTATTTGTCCTCACACCCGAACTGCTGCTCCCTACTTGTCACGACTTATAATTTATTATTTATTATTAAATTTAGAATTAAAGTTTCATAAATATGTCCTGTTGATCTACACTGTTCCAATGTATAAATGTCAGTTATTGCGTAGATCTGGTGCGTCAGTAAGAAAACTGTTCTTTAATTTGATGACAGTGTGAAAGCAAGCTGGTTCACAAATGCAGCAGAAACAATTAGTGACTAATTGGTAATAGACGTGTCCACGATAATTCTGCATTGGATTCGGTCGATAATGACTGGAGGAGAAATGAAAATTTTGTTCACTACTTGGTTTAGGACTCTGTAAACGTACTCAGAAATGATCTCAGCAGTGATA